CCGCCCATGTGGCTGTGACATCACAGATAAGAGACGTTTATGGCAGCAGCTTGGGTCTGAACTAAAAGGTAGACTCCTCCCCCGTGTTGGATAACATTCAATACATGTAATGCAGGGCACAATTATGCAGGCAATCAGAGCACAATAATTATAGACATGTTAATCATATTATATGAGATTTAAACAGGTTAGTTATGAACGTTTTAAATGTTGACTTGCTTTGGGTCTAAACAATGACAGTAACAGCAACATATCAGAGCATGCCAAGTAACCTAACTAATAGTCCTAATTTGGTTGCAGAAAATCTAAATACCAACATATACAAAAATAATGAAGCTTTAGTTTGTAGTCAAAACGTGCAGTAAAAATAAACAACACACATCGTCAACAGGGACGCTCACGATAATTGTTTTTTACCCTTCTATCTGGCAACAAAACTGACACCGTTTTAGAAGGAGTCATGTTTGCATAGACCGCAATACCTGCAGTCATAATACAAACAAAAGAACATAACTCTGATAATGTGCACTGTCCTTGAAGTTGATTGGTCCACACCCGAGACAGCTTTCCTTAGAGCCTAGTCTCACATGGGTTGGACCTGATGACGCCAAAAGGCGCACTGTAAAAAGGTGTCCGTTTTGTTGCCAGATAGAAGGGTAAAAAAACCAATTATCATATTTTTACTGGCAAATGAGGTTCCCATAGGGACGCTCACCTCGTTGACGATTCGCTCTGCAAAGGCTTCTTCTGCTGCTGCTCACTCGTGCGCATTCCTCTCGACTGCGGGTGGAGGCGTGGCTATGACGTAACAGAGGTGACGTCACTACAGCGAGGCTCCGCCCCCACGCGCTTGGCGGGCACACCACGTGGTGCAGTGCGGGTGGTTGCGTCACCGGAAACAGCAGAGCCCTCGGTTCAACATTAAACATTTGCCCCCTCGCTTTGTGCTGTCTTTGATGTCGCCGTTACTGCGGCGAGGACTGAAGCGATGCCTGGCCATCAGGCCTGGCATATACCTAGGCCTCAGGCTTCATATTTGTTCGTAGTTATTTTTTGCTTAATTGGAATTATTAACTTGCATTTCATTAATTACATTTCAAGCGTATAAACACCATCCCATTGGTTTATTTACTTTTAAATTAAGGTTTTTATTATAGTTATTGATCTGTAGTTATATTTAAGTGAGTGAGGTGGTTGTACTAAGTGTGAATTTGAGTTCCATGTAAATTATTATTGTGTAAAGGATTTGTCTGTGTGCACCTATCCTGGCAGTGGTAATATGGGCTTTTTATAATTTAGTTATTAATGAGATTGTTTATTTGTGTGTGTCTGTTATCTATGTCTGTGTCAGGTTACAAATCTATGTAGCTGTGTGTGTTTGTTAATTTATGATGGGTGGTGATGATGTTTCTTGATAATGGATGGTGGTGATGATGATGATGGGTGGTGATTATGAAGGGTGGTAATGATGATGGTTGGTGATGATAACGTGTAGTGATTATGATGGGTGGTAGTGGTGATCATGGGTGGTGGTAATGATTGGTGAGTTTATGATGATGGTTGGTGATGATGATGGGTTGTTGTGATTATGGGTGTTGATGATGGATGATTGGTGGTGGTTATGATGAATGTTGGTTGTGATGGGTGGTGACGATGGTTCGTGATGGGGAGTTGATAGTGATAATGATGATTGGTGATGATAATGGGTGTTGATGCTGATGATTATGGGTGGTGATGAGTAAATGAGCCACCACCCAATACAAAACAGCAACAGAAGTAACTACAGCAGCAACAATAACAGCAGAAACAACACATTTTGAGGGCTACGCAACTACTTCTGATTCTGCTGTTTCTGCTGCTCGGCTATTTGTAGCCAGGCCCTGCTCTCGCGGGACCCCACACATCTTTGGAAATGAATGCGATGATCATGTCTGAGCTGAGAATTAAGTGACTTAACGTTACTTTGTTTAACAATAACTGTGTGTAGGTTAGTATCTGGGGGCTCAGCGAATACTATTCATTAAATAACTCGCACTCCTGTATGACCGACATTGTACTAATTTTGGTTGATCGAGACGAACAAGGCACGTGCCATGTCCAGAATTATTTTTATTACCAATATTGTCTTTAAATATGATGCTAAACTAAACGTTAACACTGGATGAAACATGCACCTCTTAACCCCTGCCTCGCATTTACGACTAACAATTAGCATTTTACACGTAACATACAGTCAAGCACAGTAAAATGCTAATACGACAATATTGTTATTCTAGGAATTGTAATTCGATTCTAACCCTGCACCCCCCACAGTTCGCATATCCAACCCCCGGTTCGATGGAACGTTCGCTTTACATACATATGAGCAGTGTGGTTATAATACTTCTAATTAGATTTGAATACCGTACCTCCGTTTATGGTGTAATGAATTAGAATACCAGTTTATAGTCATTTAATGTTGAGTGTTATCGTTTATAGTGATACAGCTGAAGTCAAAGAGGTGAAACGGCCTAAGTGTGTAACGAATACAGATAGGGCGTCGCAGTTGGTTCGTCCACCCATCGCGCCTCAAGACTTATGTCCGTCCCCACCCGGACAGCTCATCCCCATGTCCTGTACAGCCCAAGTCTGGTGTGACCCACGTGGTGGGGCTCTCGGCAACGGAAACCGTACTCCAAAGGAAATGTGTTGTGGCGCTCACAGTTTCCTAGCCCCTGAGGCCCGGGGTGCTTCAATGATCTCCCGCGTGTGAGGAATCGGTGCCTGGAGCCCAGTCATGTTTCTCAAAAGAAGCCAGGGACCTGCCTAACCCTTCAAGGCTGTGGTGCGAACCCTTGACGGCCCGAAAGGCACAAGATTCCACCATGGGCCTTTAACGCGGTTTTAGACCCCAGGCGTCACGATATAGCAACGACGACGACGAGACAGCAACCAGCCAACACAGCCCCAAACCTCGTTCCTCCCCCTCTCTCATTCTCGGCGTGAACCTCCGCCCACACTTGGTCCCGCCTTCCCTTCTCGAACTCTCTCTATCTTGTTGTCACCACTTGTCCCTTAGTTGACGCATCACCCACCTCTATGACCTCTACCTGTCCCCGCCATGGGCGGAGCAACTTGGGGGATTTTCCCGGTGGCACCTGTAGGCAATACACCATGCCCTGTCCCCCACTGCCCATTGAAGCACGTGTTCCCGCTGCCCCGAGTTATTTTCATTAGCGGATTGCGCTCTGGTGGGAAAAGGTCCTCGTTATGAATCGTTTCGCAACGTTCAGGTCCAGAATACCGAAGTATACCGGGAATCACCTGTACTTAAGAACATGTAAACTGATAACACTATAAACAATAACACTAAACATTAAACGACATTAAAATATCAACTGGTTTTATAATTTATAGCACCATAAACGGAAGTACGGTATTTAAATCTCATTATAAGTATTAAAATCGCACTCTACACATGTGTATGTAAATTATCTGATCAATCGAACCGGGGGTCGGATATGTGAACTGTGGGGGGTACAGGGCAAGAATCGCATTCACATTTTAGAATAACAATATAATAGTATTAGCATTTTACTGTGCTTGAATGTGTGTTACGTGCAAATGCAAATCGTTAGTCGTAAATGCGAGGGAGGGGTTTAGAGGTGCACGTTTAATCCATAGTTAACATTTATTTTAGCATCATATTTAAGGACACTGTTGTTGCAAAGAATTCGTCTGAACATGGCACGTGCCTTGTTCTACTCGATCAACCAAAATTAGTACAATGTCGGTCATACAGGAGTGTGATTTCATTCATGAGTAGTAGTCACACAGCCCCAAAGACACTAACCTACCTAAAGTTATGGTTAAACAAAGTCATTTTGAGTGACTTAATTCTCAGCTCAGACATGATCATCGCAATCATTTCCAAAGACGTGTGGGGTCCTGCGAGAGCAGGTCCCGACTACAAACAGCTGGGCAGCAGAATCGGAAGTAGCTGCGTCGCCCTCGAAATGTGATGTTGCTGCTGTTGTTGTCGCTGCTGTTGTTGCTGCTGTAGTTGCTTCTGTTGCTGTTATATACGCAGGGAGGTGGTGTTCCGTGATGGGATGACGCATTTGATTAAAGCCTCTGATCAAACTCACCAGATTGACGCCCTTGATAGTCACATTTGATCAACTCTGATATTGTATACTCTCACATGTTAAGCTCTATCATAGTGAAACATAATATTATAACCTATGAACTACAACCTATCCATTGTAACGCTGTAAAAGAATATTACCTATTGGGTTTCACTCCCTCGTCGAGAAGGCCGCTCTCTTCCTTTTCTAAAGTTACATGCTAATTTCTCTGCATTCACTTTAAATCGAAGACAAAGTTTTTCCATTTATTCAAAATAAGCGCACAATTACACACTGAGATGCACTTACATATTCATGCATGAAGGACAATGGGCACATTACCCTTCGGTATGTTAATAGACATGCGGATTGTGCCTTCCAAAATTAACAATCGAATGCAAATATCCTGAAAGACAAAGTATTGGATCCTAGGGGGGGAGTTATAAGGCGGCTCAGAAGCAGAGCTCAATGCCATTTCGAGAGGGAACTTGATGAGGTTGGACGCTCGACTCGTCGCTCTGCTGATCGCCCTTCTACCGCGAGACAACGCAGCCTGGCGAGCACAATTGCTGTGTCGACAGTTAGGCGACTTTGCGTCGGGAGAGTTCGTGGCGACATCTTCAGACGGGTTCCAGACATCGATATAGCGTGAATCTCCAAGTAAGTGTCTATTTTCGCGGATGAACTCTTAAACGTTTTCGTCGTTAAATTAGCGGGATTTTTTTGCGTCTCGGTTAGACGCGAGTGTCGTTCTTGTTTTAGCAGTTAACAAAATCCAAAACTCAACGCTAAACATCCTTGCGGCCGATAGCGTACTTTTGACTCAATAACACCGCTACTGTTACTACGCTCACATGGAGCAGAGACGCTCTCCACAGCCCCACGCACACGGAGACAAGAAGCCATTCAATTGCTCTGTGTGTGGGAAGGCATTTTCATGGTCATCAAGTCTTAAGAGACACCAGAAAACACACACGGGTGAGAAGCCATTCCTGTGCTCTGTGTGTGGGAAAACATTTGCACACTCATCACATCTTCAGAGTCATCAGAGAACACACACGGGCGAGAAGCCATTCCTGTGCCCTGTGTGTGGGAAGGCATTTGCACAGTCGTCAACTCTTCAAAACCATCAGAGAACACACACGGGCGATAAGCCATTCCTGTGCCCTGCGTGTGGGAAGGCATTTTCACAGTCGTCAACTCTTAACAGGCATCAGAAGGTCCACAATGATAGGAAACTGAAATCAAAAGCTGAAATTCAAGGTGCTGCAATGAGTCCTCAAGAAGTTTCCACCTTCGATCCCATGCAGTTGGATCCCGAGAGATGGCTGGATGTAATGGAGTGGCTCGAGGATCAAACCGAGAGCTCGGGGTGACTGAAAAAATATTACGTCATGTGGTTATACCTATTAAGCCGTATCGAGTACTTCTGTGTATAATATTGACCATTTTAGTTTTATAGTTTTTTTGAGAGTTTAATGACGTGCACAGTGGTGGTTTGTAATGTTATCGGGTTACTTGCCGAAGTGGTGTGATGAGCACTGGTTGTGAGAGGGTTCAATTGTAGTCGTTAAGTGTCCCTGTTGAGCTAAAGTTGAAATGCCTCTGTAGGTACATCTTTACTCAACATTTTAAACGTTTTTTTTCAAGTATATAGCTTTTTTTGATTGGTATTAATCGACTTTAGATAGCCGATGTCAGGATGTACATTGATGACGCGTTCGTTGGATATATGGCCTTGACTTCAACATAGACGCACAGTGAACAAATGTGGTGAACTAATAAGGAAATCATGGGGAATGATACTTTAACGCTTTGGTATTCCTGGAACGGAAATGGTTTGCATTGTACTGGAAATGTGTGAACATAGGACATAATACTTATTCGGTTGGAGTTTTAACGTAAAAATTAATGCAGATTAATAAAAACGTATTTTAACACGTTTTTGTCCGTTTATTTATTTTACAATGTTCATAGCAAAAACGTGTTTTAAGCGAATTTCAGGTGGAGGATCTTCGTCACACAAATCTGCCCTTAACCGGCAGCATCTTGGCTGTCTCTCCATTAACATGTGTCCCTGGAGGGGAAAGGTCCCCATTAGAAATCTATTCGCAACGTTACGGCCCCTAATCATCAAGTATGACATGTGAACTGTAACACTATCAACGATAACAAAAATAGTTAAAATAAATAATCTATTAACTAGTTTCATCATTTATAACACCAAAAACAGAGGTACGGTATTATTAGTTTTTAACAAAATAAATGTTAAGTGAATGCGATCCGGGGGTAGGATATGCAAGATTTGAACCTCATTACAATGATTAAAATCCCACTGTGGTCGTATTAGAATTAAACTGTCCACTGTTGGATGAATGTCATGTTAATTGAATCGAACAGCTATATACGGTATGTAAACAGATAAAGTGTATAACAATCACATATTATAACATAATTACATTTCATATGATATGAAAAAACTACGTTCATTTAAAAAAAAACTGAGAATTTCGTGTATAATAGTGTACGTGCAAGCGAACTGTGCTCGTATGCATGTAATATGCATCTATGGCCTTTGGACATGCGAACCGGTGGTCGGATATGCGAACGGGGGGTGCAGGATTATGATCGGATTAAAACGATTAGAATATCACTTTGGTAGTATTAGAATTACACTGAGCTAGAATGTATGTTATATGTAGATGCACATCGGGAGTCGTAAATGCGGCCTGGGTGGTGCCAGATTTAGAATCGCATCAAAATTATTAAAATCGCACCATGGTCGTATTCGAATCAAGCTGCCCACTGCTGGTAGAATGTTACATCGCAATGGCACCGAATATCAATATGCATCTTCTTGGTTCTTTCGGTAAAGTCACGTAGAAGGGAAGTCATAAAATAATAAAAATAAAACATAATAAAATAATTCTCACGACGTTTCGGCCACAACGTAAGCAGCCGTCCTCAGGTGGAGAACAGGTCCGTCAAGTAGACAGAGTCTGAATGTCACGCTCCAGGCTTGGAGCGACTATTTATGCTGCGATGGAGGAGCGAAGAGCGTCTTGACAAAATAATTTGCATATCAAGAGGATTTTAGCATATTTATGGGAAATGCAGATATGTGATTTGCATTACTTGTGAAATGCGTAGGAGGTGGGCGGGGGGGTTTCAAAGTCATTATGTCCATGCATTATGCAGGATTAGCAGCATCAAAGGGAGGGAGTAAGGTCAGAATCTATATATATAAAATCGCAAATCTGTCTGGTGAATGGTGAGGGTGAGTGGTGAGTGGTGAGGGTGAGTGTTGAGGGTGAGTGGTGATTGGGGAGGGTGTGATTGGTGAGGATGAGTGGTGAGGGAGAGTGGTGAGGGTGAGTGGTGAGGGTGAATGGTGAGGGTGAGTGGTGAGTGGTGAGGGTGAGTGTTGAGGGTGAGTGGTGATTCGTGAGGGTGTGATTGCTGAGGATGAGTGGTGAGGGAGAGTGGTGAGGGAGAGTGGTGAGGGTGAATGGTGAGGGTGAGTGCTGAGTGGTGAGGGTGTGTATATATGTAAGGTTATTAAGAAATATATTTTTCACCCGGGCAACGCCGGGTACTACTGCTAGTTAATAATATACAGCATTGATATTTTGCGTGGAGCCTACGAGCGCAACCTTGCGCATTTTGACCTGGTTCTCGACGCCCGTCCCACGCCCATGGTAGAATCTTGTGCATTTCGGGGCGTCAAGGGTTCGCACCACAGCCTTGAAGGATTAGGCAGGTCCCTGGCTTCTTTTGAAGAATGTGACCAGGCACCGGTTCCTCGCACGTGGCGGATCCTTGAGGCACCCCGGGCCTCTTGGGCTCAGAAACTGTGGGCGCCACAACACATTTCGTTTGGAGTACGGTTTCCGTTGCCGAGTGCCCCACCACGTCGGACACACCAGACTTGGGCTGTACAGGACATGGGGATGAGCTGTCTGGGTGGGGACGGACATAACTACATGCGTACACACTGCGGCCATTTCACCTCTATGACTTCTACCTGTCGCCGACGTGGGCTGAGCAACTTGGGGGATGTACCCGGTGTCACCTTTGGGCAATACAACCTGTCTACGACCGCCCATGGAAGCACGTGTTCCCGCCGCCCCGTGTTCTTTTCATTAGCCACTTGTGCTCTGGCAGGGAAAGTTCCTCGTTGTAAATCGTTTCGCAACGTTCTGGTCCCGAAACCCGAAGTATACGGGGGATCACCTGTACTCTATAACATGTAAACTGATAACACTATGAACAATAACACTAAACAATAAACGACTTTAATTTTTTTTATAATAGATTCCACCATAAACGGAGTTACGGTATGAGAATGTCATTAGAAGCATTTTAATCGCTCATATGTATGTAAAGTGTAGGTTCAATCGAATCGGGGGACGGATATGCGAACTGTGGGGGTTTGCAGGGTTAGAATCGCATTAAAATTATTCTAGTAACAATATGTTCGTATGCGCATTTTACTGTGCTTGAATATATGTTATGTGCAAATGCGAATCGTTAGTCATAAATGCTAGGCAGGGTTTAAAATGTGCATGTTTAATCCAGTGTTAACGTTAATCCAGTGTTAGCATTATATTTAAGGACAATATTGTTAATATCAATTCGTCTGGACATGGCACGTGCCTTGTTCGTCTCGATCAACGAAAATTAGTACAATGTCGGTCATAAAGGTGTGCGAGTTCATTCATAAGCAGTGTTCGCTGATCCCCGATGACACAGACCTACACAAAAACAAAGTACTCTTTATTAAATTAATTATCAGCTCAGACATCATCATCTCAATCATTTCCAAAGACGTGTGGGGTCCCGCGAGAGCAGGGCCTGGCAACAAATATCTGAGCAGCGGAAGCAGCAGAATCAAAAGTAGCTGCGTCGCCCTCGAAATGTGATGTTGCTGCTGCTGCATTTGCTTCTGCGTCGATCAAGATTGACGCTCTTGATCAACTCTGACATTGTAGACTCTCACATGTTAAACTCTAACATAGTGAAATATAATTTTATAACCTATGAACTACAACCTATCCATTGTTACGCTTTAAAATACGATTAACTGTTATAGTGCAGAACTACATAATTGGAGGTGTGGGATTATAATCGCATACTAATCATTAGAATCGCACTGAGCTAATTAGAATCACACTGTGGTTGTACGTATGGTAAGTTAATATGCCAACCGGGGGTAGGATATGCAGGATTAGAATCGAATTACAATTATTCGAATCCCACTCGTATTAGAATCACACTGTCCACTGTTGGATGAATGTGTCGTATTAATGGCATCGAATAGCCATATAAGTATATACAGTATACACAAATAAAGAGTATAACAATCACACATTGTAACATAGATACAATACACATTATTTAAAAAAAACGTATTTACAAATATATATTCCACTTTTTTAAAACTCAGAATGTCGTCGTTCATGTGGGGAGATGGAGCGCAGTGGATCGTATCGTCTAAGCTGCTTTTAGGAATCCGTGTGATAACCCAGTCACATCGCCTAACTCCAGTGACAGCAACTTACCCAAACTGCATCTCCCCAACAAGGCAGCCTTACCGATGCTGTGTATTATGTTAATGGGATAACAGAGGTGTGTATTATCCCATACGCCTTGCCCAAAACGACTGATTGTCCGCTTAACAGCCTAGCCTGTAAACCACCATTGGTGACAGTGTTGTTTGAGAGCAGCTATTAAAGTCGCTGCAGCAAACGAGGTGGTGGCTGGCCAAACCATGCCTCGTGTTTGTCTCCGGAGTGATGACGGATACAAACCAGACCAAGTGGAGACCATGTACCAGATCGGATTTTGGTTACTGATGTTAGAGTGATTGTATTGCAAGTGTGGTCACTACGCGTCTGTACGTGCTCACTCCCGAAGCTTGGCGATTTTTGGCAACGCCACGGGGCTGCATTTACTTTAAATTGAGGACAATGGAGGGCAGTGGGAACGTGTTTTTCCATTTATTCAAAATAAGCGCACAATTACACACTGAGATGCACTTACATATTCATGCATGAAGCACAATGGGCACATTACCCTTCGCTATGTAAATATATATGCGGATTGTACCTTCCAAAATTAACAATCGAATGCAAATATCCTGAAAGACAAAGGATTGGAATCTAGGGAGGGGGGAGTTATAAGGCGTCTCAGAAGCAGAGCTCAATGCCATTTCGAGAGGGAACTTAATGAGGTTGGACGCTCGACTCGTCGCTCTGCTGATCGCCCTTCAACCGCGAGACAACGCAGCCTGGCGAGCACAATTGCTGTTTCGACAGTTAGGCGACTTTGCGTCGGGAGAGTTCGTGGCGACATCTTCAGACGGGTTCTAGACATCGATATACCGTGAATCTACAAGTAAGTGTCTATTTTCGTGGATAAATTCTTAAACGTGTTCGTCGTCAAATTAGCGGGATTTGTTTTGCCTCTCGTTCAGACACGAGTTTTAGCAGTTAACAAAATCCAAAACTCGACGCTAAACATCCTTGCGACCGATAGCGTACTTTTGACTCGATAACACCGCTGCTGTTACTACGCTCACATGGAGCAGAGACGCTCTCCACAGCCCCACGCACACGGAAGCAAGGAACAATTCAATTGCTCTGTGTGTGGGAAGGCATTTTCATGGTCATCAAGTCTTAAGAGACACCAGAGAACACACACGGGCGAGAAGCCGTTCCTGTGCACTGTGTGTGGGAAGACATTTGCACGGTCATCACATCTTCAGAGTCACAAGAAAACACACACGGGCGAGAAACTATTCCTGTGTTCTGTGTGTGGAAAGGCATTTGCACGTTCATCAACTCTTCAAAACCACCAGAGAACACACACGGGTGAGAAGACATTCCTGTGCCCTGTGTGTGGGAAGGCATTTTCACAGTCATCAACTCTTCAAAACCACCAAAGAACACACACGGGCGAGAAGCCATTCCCGTGCTCTGTGTGTGGGAAGGCATTTTCACAGGCATCAACTCTTCAAAACCACCAGAGAACACACACGGGCGTGAAGCCATTCCTGTGCCCTGCGTGTCGGAAGGCATTTTCACAGTCGTCAACTCTTTACAGGCATCAGAAGATCCACAATGATAGGAAACTGAAATCAAAAGCTGAAATTCAAGGTGCTGCAATGAGTCCTGAAGAAGTTTCCACCTTCGATCCCATGCAGTTGGATCCCGAGAGATGGCTGGATGTAATGGAGTGGCTCGAGAGTCAACCAGAGAGCTCGGGGTGACTGAAAAAATATTATGTCATGTGGTTATACCTTTTTAATCCGTATCGAGTACTTTTGTGTGTAATTTTGACCATTTTAGTTTTACAGTTTTTGTGAGAGTTTGGCGTGCCCAGTGGTGGTTTGTAATGTTATGGGATTACTTGCCGAAGTGGTGTGATGAGCACTGGTTGTGAGAGGGTTCAATTGTAGTCGTTAGGTGTTCCTGTTGAGCTAAAGTTGGAATGCGTCTGTAGTTAGATCTTTACTCAACATTTTAAAAGGTTTTTTTTTTCAAGTATAAAGTTTTTTTTGGTTGGTAATAATCGACTTTAGATAGTCGATTTCAGGATGTACATTGATGACGCGTTCGTTGGATATATGGCCTTGACTTCAACATAGACGCACAGTGAACACATGTGGTGAACTAATAAGGAAATCATGGGGAATGATACTTTAACGCTTTTGTATTCCTGGAACGGAAATGATTTGTATTGTACTGGAAATGTGTGAACATAGGACGTAATAAATATTCGGTTCGAGTTTTGACGTAAAAATGATTGCAGATTAATAAAAACGTATTTTTAACAAATGTTTGTCCGTTCTTTATTTTATAATGTTCCTAGCAAAAACATGTTAAGGGAATTTCAGGTGGAGGATCTCCGTCACACAAGTGTGCCCTTAACCGGCAGCATCTTGGCTGTCAACCTGATTAACACGTGTTCCTTGAGGGGAAACGTCCCCGTAGTTAATCGTTCATCAACGTACCAGTCCCTAATCCCGAAGTATGTCGGGGATAAACTGTACTCTATAACATGTAAACTGTAATACTATAAACGACTAGCAGTCGCCGCCCGCTTCGCGGGCGGTGTGTATATGCTTGGTTGGTGGGGAGTTGAAAGTGGCTGGACACAATATGCATGCTTTGGTGATTGTTCAATGTTTATTTTTGTGAGGTTATATGTATTTTTATGAGACGCTCAATCGACAATATTAAAGAATGCAACTTATTCAAATATAGAATGCAACTTATTGAAATATCTGGCGATACACGATGTTCTTCGTGTACACTCCGTCTTCCTCCTCGTCGTCAAGTCCCTCAATAAGCGCCTTGATGTTGGATCTTGCCGTGACTCGCGATAGTGCCACGTACAGTTGGCCGTGCGAGAAGCATGGCGTTGGTAGATATAATCCCAGGTTGTGAACAGTTTGCCCTTGCGCCTTGTTGATGGTCATCGCGAAGGCTGGGACAATGCGGAACTGCTTGCGCCGAAGTCGAAATGGGAAGTCCTTCGTGTCGTCGTCGCTGATGAAGATGATCCGAGGGATCACCACCTTCTTACCGTTATGGGTTCCTGTCATGATAGTCGCGTGAATGACGTGTGGCTTCATTTCCACGATGCGAAGCCGTGTTCCGTTGCACAGGCCAGCGTCCGGGTTCAAGTTGCGCATCATCATCACTGGGATGCCTTTCTTGAGGATCAACTTGTGTGGCGGAACCCCGTTGATGTTCACCGAGTTGAGGACCTCTGTCTCAAAGAATGCTGACCCTGCTCTCTCGTCGTCCTCAACCGAATCTGTAGACAGGTACACTTGTGGAGTTTCTCTGAGGCGATCCACGACACCCTCATTCACTCGCTGCACAGCGGCGTTGGTCGGTGTCAGAATAGTGCGGCGAGCGAAGTAGTCGTTCGTTGCCACCGTAGGGTAATTCAATTCATCTGCACTGTACATGGCATCGACAATCCTCTTCAACCCGAGTGGAACGGGCAGATGACTGCCGTCCTCATCTCCGTCGATGTCTGGGTCGTATTCAGGATTGTCGATCACCATGGCACGCGGAGTCTTCATGCAATCTGGACCGAGGTCTGGATCAACTTCATGCCTACCCTCTCCGACTTCCAAAAGAAAATCTGAAAAGGCAGCAAGTTCTGCGGCGGATTCTTGGTTCTCTGCACACTGGACTCTCATGTTCACAGTCAGATGAATTTGCTTGAAGTGGGACCGCAGGTCGGACGACTTGAAACACGCATCCACAGTATCAGCTGGTGTTCTTTTCTTGACAACTGGCAGAATCTGTCGAAAGTCACCGGACAGGACAACCACTTTGCCTCCAAACGGTTCATGCATATTGTCCAAAATATCGCGAAGCGTGCGATCCACCGCTTCAAACGCAAACCGGTGCGTCATTGGGGCTTCATCCCAAACGATAAGACTTGTCTCCTTGATAAATGCTTTGAGCTTGGACTGTTTGCGAATGAAGCATGTGGATATGTTCGTCGGTTTCAACGGGATCTTGAACGTGGAATGCGCGGTACGGCCGCCTGGAAGCAGCAGCGAGGCAATGCCGCTGGAAGCAACAGCAATCGCAATCTTGCCTTGAAGACGTATCTTTGCCAGCACATGGTTGAGCAGCGTGGACTTCCCCGTGCCGCCCGGACCATCGATGAAGAACAGCTTTTGATCGGGTTGACTGTCTTCGACTGAGCCAACAATTTCGTCGTAGATTTCTCTCTGGTTCGTGTTGAGTCTGTCAGCATGTTCTACGATGTCTTCTAGCTCGTTTCTATCATATTTTTCCAATTCGCGGCAGATATGGTTGTTCTCAAGCAGCGAGTCCAAGACCAAGTGTGGGTACTCGGAAAGCTGCGGGAGGTCGTCAAAGTCCGACAGAGCCATCCCAACTGCCGTGAGGAACTCGTGGAGGCTGTGAAGGGTCTTGAACTTTACCATTTCTTTAATTTTCTTTGATGCTGCTAATCCTGCATAATGCACGGGTATAAGTAGTACTAATCACATACCTGCATTTCCCATATCCCCTCCCTTTGATACTGCTAATCCTGCATAATGCACGGGCATAGGTAGTACTAATCACATACCTGCATTTCCCATAAATATGCTAAATTCCCTAGATATGCAAAATTTTTTGTCAAGGCGCCCTTTCCCCCCCCTTCCAACCCAGCTTATATATATGCTCCAAGCACGTGTGCTGTTTCATTCAGACGCTGTCGCCTCGACAGACCTGGTTTTCACCTGAGGACGGCTGCTTGCGTTGTGGCCAAAACGTCGTGAGAATTATTTTATTATGTTTTACTTTTTATTATTTTATTACTTCCCTTCTACGTGACTTTACCGAAAGAACCAAGAAGATTTACCATTTCTTCTTTGTTGGTCAGCTGGCGGTACTGGTACTCGCAATCGCAAGGCAATTCGACATAGAATTTATCCCAGAGAGCCTTCGTATCTGCTGGCATGGAATACAGCAGAATCGTAGCGAAGAGTTGACGAAGCTGGTACGGCATCTGAAAGAGCGAGGCTTCTACCAGACACGCAACCCATTCGCGATCGCTCTCAAAGTAGCCTGCTCGCATGGCTGCTTCCAGCGGTTTGTTTTGTTTTATTTTATTCGTAACGCACCATCCATATGCGCTCCACCATCCACCATGATTTGCATCGCAAAGACACAGCTCCGGTGTGCGTCAGCGTGTGCGCCATCCACAGTGACATTGGTCAGCAATTGCACCGTTCCAATCGCACACAGGTTGGCCCCTGCATCTTCTGTCTGTATGTACACACAGACAGATCTGCTATGGGGCCACCTATTTGTATTTTGTTGGTGTTTTTAAGTTTACGTATTCCCATTGTGGGTGTTTTACGCATGCATCAGATTTTTGGGTTCCTCACATATGGTATCAGAGGTGTGGGTCACTCCATTTCTCAATCGAACAATAACGGGGATCGTTTCAGTTACGACAGCTTGCAGATAGAAACATTGCATGATCGTATACTAATGACAGAATTTGTACCCCAGTGGAGGGCATCCACCACCCGGCGCTTCTTACCGGTACTGTGAGACTTAAAAATCCAGACCTCTCCTCCTCCTGAACCGTTCACAATACCCTGTGGTAGTACCATAATCATCTCAATAAAGCGATCACTTTCCAATGCCCATTTTGATCCCGGGAGTTACCCGGGTGGTGTCACACTGTACTCATTGTTTTAGCATGTCGCAAATTCCGATATGGCTTGTGCAACGGCCAGAGAGTGACAGCGGCGGTGGCCGGGCTGCAACCTTTGTAGACAGTTTATTACATTTCAAAGTGCATGGGATTGACACTCTAAAACATGATAAATGTACAGTAACGCCAACTGCATCCGTGGCAAAAATGATACGCGGACACATGCTGCATATTATGCAACACATGCCCTTACCAGCAGCAGCATGCACAACATCTCAATTACACAACCGAAGTAGACAGCAAGCCGTCCATAGAGACGTGATCAACGTCAATACATAATAATGGTAATAAGCGTCAATACATAATAATGGTAATGTACGTATGGTAAGTTAAACCGAAAAGTACCCATTGTACCCATCAAACAGTCAGCTGGGTAGCCCCATGGGGGTATTGACCCATGGGCGAAACTGTAGGGGGCGCTACGCAACTGGCCGTGGTCCCGGCAGGTGAAGCTGGCAGCTCAGTCCGCTAAGACTTACTGTATAGCGACCCCTGCCTACTCGTAAGGTAAAGTTGTTTGGGGACTCCACTAATCGCAGCACGCAGCACCCATTTTTTACATAAATAAACGTAATATTAGCGTAACTACCATTCGCACACTTGCATACACACCACACTCACACAGCGCAGGGTCTGCGCCCACAGTGCACTGCAGCACTGCGGCGCAGCCCTTGGCAAACCTATGCTATCGCTCTCTTCCGGGCGTGTTAATTATTTCTTTTTATCGAATCAAAGTGAGCTGTGGCTTTTTGCCGGCTGTTTTATTTTCATCGAATCAGAGCGAGCTGTTTGGGCGGGTCCGTAAATAAATTAACGTCCAGATACGCACGCAGACGACCAAACCAGCGTAGTTGTTTATGATAAACGGAGTTACGGTATGAGAATGTCATTAGAAGCATTTTAATCGCTCATATGTTTGTAAAGTGTAGGTTCAATCGAATCGGGGGACGGATACGCGAACTGTGGGGGTTTGCAGGGTTAGAATCGCATTCAAATTATTCTAGTAACAATATGTTCGTATGAGCATTTTACTGTGCTTGAATATATGTTATGTGCAAATGCGAATCGTTAGTCATAAATGCTAGGCAGGGTTTAAAATGTGCATGTTTAATCCAGTGTTAACGTTAATCCAGTGTTAGCATTATATTTAAGGACAATATTGTTAATATCAATTCGTCTGGACATGGCACGTGCCTTGTTGGTCTCGATCAACCAAAATTAGTACAATGTCGGTCATAAAGGAGTGCGAGTTCATTCATAAGCAGTATTCGCTGATCCCCGATGACACAGACCTACACACAAACAAAGTACTCTTTAATAAATTAATTATCAGCTCAGACATCTTCATCTCAATCATTTCCAAAGACGTGTGGGGTCCCGCGAGAGCAGGGCCTGGCAACAAATATCTGAGCAGCGGAAGCAGCAGAATCAGAAGTAGCTGCGTCGCCCTCGAAATGTGATGTTGCTGCTGCTGCATTTGCTTCTGCGTCGATCAAGATTGACGCTCTTGATCAACTCTGACATTGTAAACTCTCACATGTTAAATTCTAACATAGTGAAATATAATATTATAACCTATGAACTACAACCTATCCATTGTAACGCTTTAAAATACGATTAACTGTTATAGCGCAGAACCACATAATTGGAGGTATGGGATTATAATCGCATACTAATCATTAGAATCGCACTGAGCTAATTAGAATCACACTGTGGTTGTACGTATGGTAAGTTAATATGCCAACCGGGGGTAGGATATGCAGGATTAGAATCGAATTACAATTATTCGAATCCCACTCGTATTAGAATCACACTTTCCACTGTTGGATGAATGTGTCGTATCAATGGAATCGAATAGCCATGTAAGTATATACAGTATACACAAATAAAGAGTATAACAATCACACATTGTAACATAGATACAATACACATTATTTAAAAAAACGTATTTAAAATATATATTCCACTTTTTTAAAACTCAGAATGTCGTCGTCTATGTGGGGAGATGGAGCGCAGTGGATCGTATCGTCTAAGCTGCTTTTCGGAATCCGTGTGATAACCCAGTCACATCGCCTAACTCCAGTGACAGCACCTTACCCAAACTACATCTCCCCAACAAGGCAGCCTTACCGATGCTGTGTATTATGTTTATGGGATAACAGGGGTGTGTATTATCCCATACGTCTTGCCCAAAACGACTGATTGTCCGCTTAACAGCCTAGCCCGTAAACCACCATTGGTGATAGTGTTGTTTGAGAGCAGCTATTAAAGTCGTTTTGGCAAACGAGGTGGTGGCTGGCCACACCATGCCTCGCTGTTTGTCTCCTGAGTGATGACGGATACAAACCTGACCAAGCGGAGACCATGTACCAGATCGGATTTTGGTTACTGATGTTAGAGTGATTGTATTGCAACTGTGGTCACTACGCGTCTGTACGTGCTCACACACGAAGCTTCGCGATTTTTTGGCAACGCCACGGGGCTGCATTCACTTTAAATCGAGGACAATGGAGGGCATGGGGAACGTGTTTTTCCATTTATTCAAAATAAGCGCACAATTACACACTGAGATGCACTTACATATTCATGCATGAAGCACAATGGGCACATTACCCATCAGTATGTTAATATATATGCGGATTGTGCCTTCCAAAATTAACAATCGAATGCAAATATCCTGAAAGACAAAGGATTGGATCTTAGGGGGGGAGTTATAAGGCGGCTCAGAAGCAGAGCTCAATGCCATTTCGAGAGGGAACTTGATGAGGTTGGACGCTCGACTCGTCGCTCTGCTGATCGCCCTTCAACCGCGAGACAACGCAGCCTGGCGAGCACAATTGCTGTGTCGACAGTTAGGCGACTTTGCGTCGGGAAAGTTCGTTGCGACATCTTCAGACGGGTTCCAGACATCGATATACCGTGAATCTCCAAGTAAGTGTCTATTTTCGCGGATAAACTCTTAAACGTGTTTGGGATTTGTTTGCGTCTCGGTTAGACACGAATGTCGTTCTTGTTTTAGCAGTTAACAAATCCAAAACTCAACGCTAAACATCATTGAGGCCGATAGCGTACTTTTTGACTCAATAACACCGCTGCCGTTACTACGCTTACATGGAGCAGAGACGCTCTCCACAGCCCCACGCACACGGAGACAATAAGCCATTCAATTGCTCTGTGTGTGGTAAGTCCTTTTCACGGCCATCACATCTTCAGAGCCACCAGAGAACACACACGGGTGAGAAGCCGTTCCTGTGTTCTGTGTGTGGGTTAGCATTTTCACTTTCAGAAAACTGCCAACGCCATCAGAAAACACACACGGGCGAGAAGCCATTCCTGTGCCCTGTGTGTGGGAAGACATTTGCACAGGCATCAAATCTTCAAACTCACCAGAGAACACACACGGGCGAGAAGCCATTCCTGTGCCCTGTGTGTGGGAAGACATTTGCAAACTCATCACATCTTCAGCGTCACCAGAGAACACACACGCGCGAGAAGCCATTCTTGTGCCCTGTGTGTGGGGAGGCATTTGCACACTCATCAAACATGAACAGGCATCAGAAGGTCCACAATGATAGGAAACTGAAATCAACAGCTGAAATTCAAGGTGCTGCAATGAGTCCTAAAGAGGTTTCCACCTTCGATCCCATGCAGTTGGATCCTGAGAGATGGCTGGATGTAATGGAGTGGCTCGAGGATCAACCAGAGAGCTCGGGGTGACTGAAAAAATATGATGTCATGTGGTTATACCTATTAAGCCGTATCGAGTACTTTTGTGTGTAATTTTAGTTTTACAGTTTTTGTGAGAGTTTAATGACGTGCACAGTGGTGGTTTGTAATGTTATGGGATTACTTGCCGAAGTGGTGTGATGAGCTCTGGTTGTGAGAGGGTTCAATTGTAGTCGTTAAGTGTTCCTGTTGAGCTAAAGTTGGAATGCGTCTGTAGGTACATCTTTACTCAACATTTTCAAAGGGTTTTGTCAAGTGTATAGCTGTTTTTGATTGGTATTAATCGACTTTAGATCGCCGATTTCAGGATGTACATTGATGACGCGTTCGTTGGATATATGGCCTTGACTTCAACATAGACGCACAGTGAACAAATGTGGTGAACTAATAAGGAAATCATGGGCAATGATACTTTAACGCTTTGGTATTCCTGGAACGGAAATGGTTTGCATTGCACTGTAACTGTCTGAACATAGGACATAATACATTCGGTTCGAGTTTTGACGTAAAAATTATTGCAGATTAATAAAAAAAAACATGTTAAGATAATTCCAGGTGTAGGATCTCCGTCACACAAGTGTGCCCTTAACTGGCAGCATCTTGGCTGTCTACCCGATTAAACACGTGTTCCTTGAGGGGAAAGGTCCCCGTAGTTAATCGTTCATCAACGTACCAGTCACTAATCCCGAAGTATGTCGGGGATAAACTGTACTGTATAACATGTAAACTGTAATACTATAAACGATAACACTAAACATTAAACGATTATAAACTAGTGTTTTAATTTATAACCATATAAACGGAGGTAAGGTATTATAATATCATTAGAATCATTAGAAGCAGTGTGGTCGTATACGAATCGCACTATGCTCATATGTTTGTATAGTGGACGTGCAAAGATCGGATACAAATTATTACAATTACAACATGGTCATATGACAATCACGATTTTTAATGCTAGATGTCATCGAATAACAAAAGACGGAATATATTTATATAAATACACGCACAAACTCATTATAAACTCATCAGATTATGAATGGTGACAATTATTAAAACAATCACAAATTGTGACAGAGAAATTCCCACATGCAAAACACCACGCTCACGTGACGAATTGTTAAACAAACTGCAACACACAAGTGACAGAACTCAACAAAAAAACGCCGCAATAAAAAGAACCACATCAATGGACAAATTCTAAAAACAGACAACACACGCACGTTAGTAGCTGTTAGAAGAAGACAACACCTAGCACCTTCAACTATACACATCATACAGCCAACTCGTAAATGGGGCGGTATATGACAGCCTTCGCTGCTGTCGACGGGGCCAAGCAGCGGATGTTTGACTCGTCACAGCGCCTTACCCAAACTACATCTCCCCAACAAGGCAGCCTTCCCTATGCTGTGTATTTTAGCAGTATATTTACGGACGCACTTGAAGATAACAATTCGTCTAGAAAAGGCAGGCGACTTGTTCTACCAACACGATTTCAAATTTCTATCCGAAAGAAGTATGAGTTCATTCATGAGTAGTATTCACTAAGCCCTGATGGCACTAACCTACACACAGTTATGATTAAGCAAAGTAAACATTAGTCGCTCATCTCAGCTCAGACATGATCATAGCAAATATTTCCAAATCCGTGTCGGGTCCCACGAGAACAGGGCACGTCCACAAACTTTTAAATTGTAAACTCACAGAGCAAACTCTAACATTATAAACTCTAACAATATAACCTTTAAACTATGAGCTATACATTGCAACGCTTTAAAATAACACTACAAACTAGTGTTATAGTAAACTATGATCTTGTGAACTACGTGTCGGATACGGGTGCGCATGGGTCGCGTGGTTATTCGACGTAGAGGCGAGTGCCACACCGGGCTGTAGACGGGCACACGCTCGCAGCGTGCGAGAGCTGCACGTAGCGGTGTAAAGAGGGGGAGTGTGGCGTGTGATTGATGATGCTGTGCGCACGTATGCTCGCAGCGTGGGAGCGCGGCGCGAGGCTGTAACAGTAGGGGCGTCGCGTTCGAATGCCGGCGAAACCTTAGCGGGTAATAGGGAGGTGGGGTAACGTAAACGGAATAGTGGATGATGGCGGGGGGGAACCCGGGGTTCAGTGATGGGATGACGCCTTTGATTAAAGTCTTTGATCAAACTCACCCGATTGACGCCCTTGGTTGTCGCATTTGATCAACTCTGATATTGTATACTCTCACATGTTAAGCTCTATCATAGTGAAACATAATATTATAACCTATGAACTACAACCTATCCATTGTAACGCTGTAAAAGAATATTACCTATTGGGTTTCACTCCCTCGTCGAGAAGGCCGCTCTCTTCCTTTTCTAAAGTTACACGCTAATTTCTCTGCATTCACTTTAAATCGAGGACAAAGTTTTTCCATTTATTCAAAATAAGCGCACAATTACACACTGAGATGCACTTACATATTCATGCATGATGCACAATGGGCACATTACCCTTCGGTATGTTAATAGACATGCGGATTGTACCTTCCAAAATTAACAATCGAATGCAAATATCCTGAAAGACAAAGGATTGGATCCGAGGGGGGAGTTATAAGGCGGCTCAGAAGCAGAGCTCAATGCCATTTCGAGAGGGAACTTGATGAGGTTGGACGCTCGACTCGCCGCTCTGCTGATCGCCCTTCAACCGCGAGACAACGCAGCCTGGCGAGCACAATTGCTGCGTCGACAGTTAGGCGACTTTGCGTCGGGAGAGTTCGTGGCGACATCTTCAGACGGGTTACAGACATCGATATACCGTGAATCTCCAAGTAAGTGTCTATTTTCGCGTCGTTAAATTAGCGGGATTTTTTTGCGTCTCGGTTAGACGCGAGTGTCGTTCTTGTTTTAGCAGATAACAAAATCCAAAACATCCTTGCGGCCGATAGCGTACTTTTGACTCAATAACACTGCTGCTGTTACTACGCTCACATGGAGCAGAGAGGCTCTCCACAGCCCCACGCACACGGAGGCAAGAAGCCATTCAATTGCTCTGTGTGCGGGAAGTCCTGTTCACGGTCATCAGATCACCAGAGAACACACACGGGCGAGAAACCATTCCTGTGCCCTGTGTGTGGGAAGACATTTGCACAGTCATCACATCTTCAAGACCATCAGAGAGCACACACGGGCGAGAAGCCATTCCTGTGCTCTGTGTGTGGGAAGGCATTTGCACAGTCATCACATCTTCAGATTCATCAGAGAGCACACGCGGGCGAGAAGCCATTCCTGTGCTCTGTGTGTGGGAAGACATTTGCACGGTCATCACATCTTCAGAGTCACCAGAGAACACACACGGGCGAGAAGCCATTCCTGTGCCCTGTGTGTGGGAAGAAATTTGCACGGTCATCACATCTTCAGATTCATCAGAGAGCACACACGGGCGAGAAGCCATTCATGTGCTCTGTATGTGGGAAGGCATTTGCACAGTCATCACATCTTCAAGACCATCAGAGAGCACACACGGGCGAGAAGCCATTCCTGTGCTCTGTGTGTGGGAAGGCATTTGCACAGTCATCACATCTTCAGAGTCATCAGAGAACACACACGGGTGAGAAGCCATTCCTGTGCCCTGTGTGTGGGAAGGCATTTTCACAGTCGTCAAATCTTAACACGCATCAAAAGGTCCACAATGATAGGAAACCGAAATTGAGTGCTGCATTGAGTCCTGAAGAAGTTTCCACCTTCGATCCCATGCAGTTGGATCCCGAGAGATGGCTGGATGTAATGGAGTGGCTCGACGATCAAACCGAGAGTCAGGGATGACTGAACAAATATTAGGTCAGGTAATATTTGTTAGTTTTACAGTTTTTGTGAGAGTTTAATGACGTGCACAGTGGTGGTTTGTAATGTTATCGGATTACTTGCCGAAGTGGCGTGATGAGCAGTGGTTGTGATATGATTCAATTCCGGACAATATTGTAGTGGTTAAGTCTTCCTGTTGAGCTAAAGTTGGAATGCATCTTCAGTTAGATCTTTTCTCAACATTTTAAACGGGTTTTTTCAAGCATATAGCTTTTTTTGGTTGGTATTAATCGACTTTAGATATCCGATTTCAGGAAGTACATTGATGACACGTTCGTTGGATATATGGCCTTGACTTCAACATGGACGCAGAGTGAACAAATGTGGTGAACTAATAAGGAAATCATGGGGAATGATACTTTAACGCTTTGGTATTCCTGGAACTGAAATGGTTTGCATGGTACTGGAAATGTGTGAACATAGGACGTAATAAATATTCGGTTCGAGATTTGACGAAAAAATGATTGCAGATGAATAAAAACGTATTTTTAACAAATGTTTGTCCGTTCTTTATTTTATAATGTTCCTAGCAAAAACATGTTAAGAGAATTTCAGGTGGAGGATCTCCGTCACGCAAGTGTGCCCTTAACCTGCAGCATCTTGGCTGTCTACCCTATTAACACGTGTTCCTTGAGGGGAAAGGTCCCCGTAGTTAATCGTTCAACGTACCAGTCCCTAATCCCGAAGTATGTCGGGGATAAACTGTACTCTATAACATGTAAACTGTAATACTATAAACGATAACACTAAACATTAAACGATTATTAACTAGTGTTTTAAGTTATAACCATATAAACGTAGGTAAGGTATTATAATATCATTAGAAGCATTAGAATCACAGTGTGATCGTATAAGAATCACGCAAAAACCCATTCTTAACTCATGAGATTATGAATCGTTACAATTATTATAACAATCGCAATTTGTGACAAAGCGAAATTCCCACAAGCAAAACACCACGCTCACGTGACGAATTCTTAAACAAACTGCAACACTCAAGTGACAGAACTCAACAAAAAAACGCCGCAATAAAAAGAACTACATTAATGGACAAATCCTAAAAACAGACAACACACGCACGTTAGTAGCGGTTGGAAGACACCTAGCACCTTCAACTATACACATCATACAGCCAACTCGTAAATGGAGCGGTATATGACAGCCTTCGCTGCTGTCGACGGGGCCAAGCAGCGAGTGTTTAACGCCATTGTTTCAGAATCCGTGTCATCACCCGGTCACAGCGCCTTACCCAAACTGCATCTCCCCAACAAGGCAGCCTTCCCTATGCTGTGTATTTTAGCAGTATATTTACGGGCGCACTTGAAGATAACAATTCGTCTCGAAAAGGAAAGCGAATTGTTCTACCAAAACGATTTCAAATTTCTATCCGAAAGAATGAGTTCATTCATGAGTAGTATTCACTAAGCACCGATGGCACTAACCTACGCACAGTTATGATTAAACAAAGTAAACATTAGTCGCTCATCTCAGCTCAGACATGATCATAGCAATTATTTCCAAATCCGTGTCGGGTCCCACGAGAACAGGGCACGGCCACAAACTCTCAGATTGAAGAAGAAGTCGCTGCTTTGCCATCGAATGGTTTCGTAGCTGCTGTAGTTGCTTCTGTTACTGTTATATACGCAGCATGTTGGTGTCCCGTGATGGGATAACGTCTTTGATCAAAAACTATGATCGAACCTACCAGACCAACGCCATCGATCGACGTCTTGGATATACTCTCACATTGTAAATTCTCACACTGTGAACTTTAACATTATGAACTTCAACAATGGTAACTTAAAAACATTCACAAATACATTTGAAAAATCTACAAATTACTGTAAACTAGTATGTGAACTCTAACAATATAACCTATGAGCTATACATTATAACGCTATACAATAACATTAGTGCTATAGATTAGAACAACCTACATTGAAGTGTGATTTTCGAATCGCATTCGAATTATTCGAATCACTCCGTGGTCCTCTTCGAATCACACTACAGTCGTAAGTATGTAACATGTATGTATGGAACATATCTGTTTGTAGTAAGTATATATGCATGTAACATGTATGTATGTAACATGGTACATGTATGCATGTAACATGTATGTATGTAACATGTATGTATGTAATATGGACGTGCGAACCAAGGGTGGGTTATGTGAAACGGAAGGTGCAGGATCAGGATGGGATTACAATTATTTGAATAACACTTTGGTGGTATTTGGATCAAGCTGTCCACTGCGGGATGAATGTTCCATCTCAATGGCATCACATAGCAATATTCAGTATGTATATATAAAAAAATTGCACAAACCCAAAATAAGCCCGTGCAATTATGAATCGTTACAATTGTAATGACTCGTTTGATAAAAGTAGTTGATCAAAGTTTGTTATCCCATCACGGAACACCACTGGAACTATTCTTTGGTTCTTTCGGTTAAGTCACGTCTAAAGATAAAATAATAAATTAAAATAATAGCATATTACGACGTTTCGATTGCAATACAAGCAATCATCATCAGGCATAAAAGAAATTGCAACAAAAATCTAACTCGAAAACTATAGACAGACATACAAGCAGACAGACATCACAAGGACACACAGAGAGAGGACACATATCGGCACAAAGAGAGGGGTCGTTTCTGTGACGGTCCCTTAAATATAGAGAGGGGGGGCGGGGACGGAGAGAGGGAGGGGGCAGATAAAATTAGCATATCAATGAGTGGACGGCAACGTGATGCTGCTGCGCAAGTAAGATTGTTGATAATAATTCGTCTGGACGTGGCACGTGCCTTGTTCTACTCGATCAACAAAAATTAGTACAATGTCCGTCATAAGGGAGTGCGTTTTCATTCATGAGTAGTCTTCGCTGATCCCCGATTATACAAACCAACACGCAGTTATGTTTACACAAAGTAAACTTTATTCGCTCAAACCTCAGCTCAGACATGATCATAGTATTCATTTCCAAAGACGTGTGGTGTCCCGCGAGAGCAGGGCCCGGCCACAAATAGCCGGGCAGCAGAAGCAGCATGTCCTTTAGATTGCACTCTCATACTCACAGGCCCTTTGGATTGTACCCGTTGGGTTGCACTCCCTCGTTGAGAAGGCCGCTCTCCTCCCTTTCTAAAGTTACATGCTAATTTCTCATGTGAACATCACTAGCCCCGGCCACTTCTTTATGACAAGAGGTCTACACCCATTTCAAACCTTTTAAAACATTCTGCCTCAGCAGCAGACCATGCTTTTACACATGACGGACGCTTGTGTTGCGCCTGAAACGTCGTGATTTATTGAATGCCTATGTGTCTTTTACTGAAATAACCAAAGAGTATATAATATTATAAACTATAACCTATCAATTATTACTCTGTAAAATACTATTAATTGTTAGTGTATAATCACGTAAATGGAGGTATGGGATTATAATCGCATACGAATCATTGAATCGCACTGTGCTCATATTAGAATCAGAATGTGGTAGTACGTATGGTAAGTGAATATGCAAACACGGGGGTAGGATATGCAGGATTAGAATCGAATTACAATTATTCGAATCCCACTCGTATTAGAATCACACTGTGCACTGTTGGATGAATGTGTCGTATCAATGGAATCGAATCGCTATATACAGTATATATACACGTACAAAGATTATAACAATCACACATTATAACATTTATACAACGCACATTATTTTAAAAACGCATTTAAACATTTCCATTCATTTTTTTTTTACTGAGAATGTCGTTGTCCATGTGGGGAGATGGAGCGCAGTGGATCGTATCGTCTAAGCTGCTTTTAGGAATCCGTGTGATACCCCAGTCACATCGCCTAACTCCAGTGACAGCACCTTACCCAAACTACATCTCCCCAACAAGGCAGCCTTACCGATGCTGTGTATTGTGTTTGTGGGATAACAGGGGTGTGTATTTTCCCATACGCCTTGCCCAAAACGACTGATTGTCCGCTTAACAGCCTAGCCTGTAAACCACCATTGGTGATAGTATTGTGTGAGAGCAGCTATTAAAGTCGCTTTGGCAAACGAGTTGGTGGCTGGCCAAACCATGCCTCGCTGTTTGTCTCCGGAGTGATGACGGATACCAACCAGACCAAGCGGAGACCATGTACCAAATCGGATTTTGGTAACTGATGTTAGAGTGATTGTATTGCAAGTGTGCTCACTACGCGTCTGTATGTGCTCACTCCCGAAGCTCGGCGATTTTTGGCAACGCCACGGGGCTGCATTCACTTTAAATCGAAGACAATGGAGGGCATGGGGAGCGTGTTTTTCCATTTATTCAAAATAAGCGCATAATTACACACTGAGATGCACTTACATATTCATGCATGAAGCACAATGGGCACATTACCCTTCGGTATGTTAATATACATGCAGATTGTGCCTTCCAAAATTAACAATCGAATGCAAATATCCTGAAAGACAAAGGATTGGATCCTAGGGGGGGAGTTATAAGGCGGCTCAGAAGCAGAGCTCAATGCCATTTCGAGAGGGAACTTGATGAGGTTGGACGCTCGACTCGTCGCTCTGCTGATCGTCCTTCAAGCGCGAGACAACGCAGCCTGGCGAGCACAATTGCTGTGTCGACAGTTAGGCGACTTTGCGTCGGGAGAGTTCGTGGCGACATCTTCAGACGGGTTCCAGACATCGATATACCGTTAATCTCCAAGTAAGTGTCTATTTTCGCGGATAAACTCGTTCTTGTTTTAGCAGTTAACTAAATCCAAAACTCAACGCTAAAC